GTTCCATACTCAGTCCAATGCTTAGACAGCAGACCCTGGAGTTCCTGTACTGACTTTGTGACTTTAAAACAAGTTTTAGAAAATGAAAAACACCATAAAGTAGAAATCCATGCTATTAACTAGCATAAGAATGTATAACAGTGAGCAATGAATTTAAGATCCAAGTTCATAATTTGATTTTTTAAAAAAGGTTTTTTGTTTGTTTGTTTTGTTTTTTGAGACAGGGTTTCTCTGTTACGATAAATCTTTCTGCCAAAAGCTGCGGGAGCCCCACCACCACTTTACGTGTGTGCGCTTTACGCCAGCTGCCCGCCTGAGTTAGGGCCCCAATTAATACACAGAAACTTGTATTAGGTTCAAATGCTGATTGGCCAATAACTAGGATTTCTCATCTGCTAGCTCAGTCTTAATTATCATAAATCTATATATTTTATAAGACTTATCGGACTCCTTATTGGCGTCCCTCCTTGCCAGTGGATCACATTGTGCTGCTGGAGGACGAGCAGAGTGGAAAAAGGGAACACTTCTTGTTTCCTTTGCTTAAATACGAGTCTCCTTGCTATGTCACTTCCTGCCTGGAACACCACTTCTCTACTACATTTCCCAGAATCCTCTTTGACTCCTAGTCCTGCCTAACTTGCTGCCATTGTCCAAACAGAACTTTATTTAACAATCAATAAGATAAACATACACAGTACATTCTCCATCATTTCTCTGTGGCTTTGGAGGCTGTCCTGTTACTAGCTCTTGTAGGCAGGCTGGTCTTGAACTCACAGAGATCTACCTGCCTCTGCCTCCCAAGTGCTAGGATTAAAGGCGTGCGCCACCAACACGCCGCAAAAATGTAAGTTTTTTTAATTTTTTAAAATTTAAATTAGAAACAAGATTGTTTTACATGTCAATCCCTCTCCCTCTCCCTCCCCTGCTCCCCCCAACTAACACCCTACCTATCCCATACCCTTTCTGCTCCCCAGGGAAGGTGGAGCTTTCCATAGGGGGTCTTCAGAGTCTGTCATATCCTTTGGGATAGGGCCTAGGTACTCCCCCATGTGTCTAGGCCTAGGGAGTATCCCACCATGTGGAATGGGCTCCCAAAGTCCATTCCTATGCTAGGGATAAGTACTGATCTACTATAAGAGGTCCCATAGATTTCCAAGGCCTCCTCACTGGCACCTACGTTCATGGATGGGGTCTGGATCAGTCCCATGCTGGTTTCCCAGCTATCAGTCTGGGAACCAAGAGCTCCCCCTTGTTCAGGTCAGCTGTTTCTGTGGGTTTCACCAGCCTATTGATCACAAGGGACTTTAAGCTCTATCTATAAAACAGAATACTGCATGGAAAAATAGAATTAACTGCTCTTAAGTATAATTGAAAGTGAATTTTATTTATTTTGTTCTTTAACTAGATAGTTAAACTTTAGTAGGTCTTTTTCCAGAATCAAGAGTGCTGTGATGTTTGAAGTATTAGCAAAAACAACTAGAGGGCTGGCAAGATAGTTGCTGGGGTGGAAGTGGGGAGACACTTGCCACAGAGTCTGACAACTTGAGTTCAATTTGTGTTCACAAATGTGGGAATTTTTGAGACCCACCTGGAAGAGGACTGACTCCCATAGGTTGTCCTCTGAATCCCCACATTTGTGCTGAACACACACACACACACACACACAGAGTGACATCATTTGCAGCCATGCCTAACAACCTGAGTTCAATCCCTTAACCTATGAGGTGGAGAGAACTGATAACATTGAATTGTCCCACATACTATCCCAGTGTATAAGAACAAGAAACATTAAGTCAGAGGTTCCCAATAATTTGAGGGAGTCAGAAGTAAACACCAAAATTTTGGAAAACAAGTACTAATAAAATTAGTTGTTGCCTCACCTGTCCAGGCCTTGGAAGCCAGCTTTAGGATGTGACAGCCACTGCAGCCAGGAGATGCTGAGTGGTGATGGCATCTGTCCTAGTCAGTATCCTACTGCTCTGAAGAGACATGACCATGGCAACTCTTATAAAGGAAACATTTAATTGAAGCTGGCTTACAAGTTTAGAGGTTTAGTCGATTATTGCCATGGGATGGTGGTGTGAAGACAGACACGATGCTAGAGAAGGAGCCCCAGAGTTCTAGATCTGGTCAGGTAGGCAGCAGGAAGAGAGCAAGCCACTGAACTTGACTTGAGCATTTGAAACCCCAAAGCCCACCCACAGTGACACACTTCTTCCAACAAGGCCATACCCCCCTAATCTCGTCAAGTAGCACCACTCCCCAATGATCAAGCATTCAAATACATGATCCTATGGGGATCATTCCTATTCGAACCACCAGAGTGACCCTGCCTGGAAGAAGACTGTTAAACCTTTCAGTCCTCCCTCTTGGTGTGACCACCAGGAAGGTTCAGGAGTGTCCATTCCAGTCAGCATTCATGAGTTCTACCAGCCACACAGATGCAGAAGGGATAAGCCGCGTTTTAAAACCACTGTAACGCTCAGGTTTGTCTCTCTACAATATCAAGCAAAGGATGCAGTTTTAATTAGGTGCTGAAAGGTTTCAACGGACTTGGTGTAGTGTGTTACATTATTCGAGCCTGACACTCAGCCTTCCTTATGACTGTGTGAGCTCCTCTAGTTAACAGGTTTCAGCAAGTTGTCATAAAGATACTTGTGGGAACAGATAAGTGAGGTAGGCATGCTACACATGACTCCAACTCGGGGCACCAGTATATATATCTGAACATGTACCTTCCCTAGCCACACTGAACATCATTAAATTCCAGACCAGCCTACCTACGTGTCTAACAGTAACTTCACCACCACTAGGGGGAGGCATGTGCTGTACCTTCTAACAGGCTCTCTAAAAAGATGGGAGAAATTAAATGTAGCTGGATAGAGTAGAATGACCTGGGAAATCTCAAATGCATTTTACATGCCTCCACAGTTGATTTGGTAGTTTTGAAGCGATGACTGGAAATGGGTTTTTGGGTTTTGTTTTTGGTTTTTTTTTTGGGGGGGGGAGGTGTGGGTTGTCAGGTTGTTTTCTTGTTTTTTTCAAAAGCTCCCAGGCAGTTCTGATACAGGTCTGAGGATGCCTACTCCAGGGTTCAGGAGTCACATCACTGGAAGAGGGGGGGCAAAAACATGTGCACACCGGAGGATGAGGAGGAAAGGAGTGTTGTGAAATCAGTCTCCCGGACACCATGCAGTCGCTGTACTCATGGACTTACTATGGTTCTGGTTACCTGCACAAGATGAAGCCAGCAAAATCAGCCAGCACTATAACAGGCAGTGCAAATTAGACTCAGTGGGCTATAGGGAAAAAGAAGACATGAAGTGGAGCATGCTGGGGGTCCCGGGGGTGGGGGTAGGTGGGAGTTGAGGTGATACTGTGTGAATGTATGGAATTCAAAGAATAATTAAAGATGTGATATTAAGTATATCACATCTGGTCAGGGCTCACACCTTTAACCCCAGCACTCGGGAGGCAGAGGCAAGTGGATCTTTCTGAGTTCCACGCCAGCCGAGCATACACAGCAAAAAGCTGTCTGAAATCAACCAACCAACCAACTGGGCCTTCTCAAAGAATTTTGCCATCTGCAGAGCATTTGTGGTGAGGAAGCAGCTGAATCCAGTGGGTTCAGGAGAGAAACTCCATCACAAGAACACAACAGTTATCTTCAAATTTAAATTTATTAAGACATTCAGTTATGTCTGTCAGTCTACATCCAAATCTGCTACTAAAAAAAAAGAAAAAAACAAAAGAAAACCACATCCCACGTTAGAATACCAAGTCTGAAATACACCTTTTTGAGCCAAGCTTATTGTATAAATAAATGACTAGTTTCTTTTCATATCAAAATCCCATAAAAAAATTACATCCCTCCCTCCCCAGTTCTACCTGTAGCCATGATGAATGTAAAAATTTAAATATGACACATCCTTGTCAAAGAAAGGGTGCAAAGTCTATTAACAGCTTTAAAAGTGGCAATTGCAGGGTGGGGTCATACATTAAGTACTCATTCCCAAAGTGCAAATGTTGCCAGGATTTAACACTGCTTTTGATTCAGCTTTGAGAATTAAACATTACACAGGATTCAGGAGTACACCCAGGGCCTTCATCAGTACTCTAAAGCCCCTCCCACTTTGGCCTCCTTTTTAAAAGTGGACTCCAAAGTGTTCATGAGAGTTTTAGTTTACTTCACACAGCCAACAAAGTATACGATATATTAACAAAAGTTTCATATACATCAAAATACGAAGACTCCAGCATCAAGATCAAGAGTCTCAGGTGACGTGAATGCCCCCATAGGCCCAGTGCCCGCCCATCCCTTCTCTGAAGCACATGGTGACGGACGTGTGCCTGCATCTTAGAATACAGTCAATGTGTCTACATCTTTGATTTCATTGTGGTGGTGTAGAAAATGCCAGAATCACTTGGTGGTTCCAATCGACTGAGGGAAAGGGGAGCGGAGGAAAGGGCTGGTCATTACCCATACTTTATAATCAGAGTAATCCTGTCCCATGGGAAAGGAAAAGCCAGTTCCACCTCTGCCTGCACCTTCATGATGACTTCCAGATCTTTGTCCTCTCTCTGGACCCCTTTCAAACACTCAAACCTGATTTCATTACCCCTCACAAATCAGGGGCTACTTCTGAAGTTGCTGAGGTTGAATTTTCTTGGCAAACCTCTACAAAACATCAGCATATAAATACATGTTGATTAGTGTACATTGCAAAATTTCTCCTACAACACGAAGTGGGGTGGAAAGCAGGTGGTGTCCACTGAGTACCCCTGGAATAGATCCTTGGAATGTCAGGGACCTGCCTAATCCTCTCCTACATTCACTCCTCAGATTTGAGCGTGATCTCGACCTTGGGCGGCCTTCTCCGCAGCAGGGCTGCAAGCCTGCTTCTCCTCTAGGCAGACTCAACAGGACAGGTTTCACCTTTTGCACTCTGAAGATCCTCTCTGGGGTCAGCAGCCCCTTCCTGGCTAGCCGAGCTTCTGCGGATGTGTTCACTACTGTCCCGAGAACCCTCCTGTGTTCCGGTCCCTGGCGGATGCTCATGGTCAGGGGGTTCGGGACCTTCCTGAAGTACAATGTTCTGCTCAGCCCCAGCAGGAGGCTGTGGAGCCGGTTCCGTTCCCAGTCCCGGAAGCTGGGAGGAGTTTTTGAGGTGGCAGTGACACAGAGGGCAGGTATCCTGGACATACAGCCATTTCTTAAGACATCCTGCATGGAAGAAATGACTGCAAGGCGTGATCACAGCAGATTTCATGTCCTAAAAAAAGAGAGGTTGAAAGAGGTATCTCAGAAACAGCAACCATTTAACTTTTTGGATGCCACCCCCTAAGATTTCTGACTCCAACATCTCTTCGTAGTGAAAACAGAAAACCTGCAGTCCAGATCTTAGAGTCATCTAATAAAGCTGTTGCCCTTATACAGTCATGTAAGAGCCACTCTGGATACTAAAAGAACAGGGAGTAAAATCCAAAGTGAGGAAGAGGCTGTCTTCTAAACAAGAAACACAAAGGTTGCACTATACAGTACAAAGATGTGAACCATTGGTATAAGACAAGACTAACTATAATCTCAGAAAAATCTAACACAGACAGACTTTTTCCACAATTATGCGTCAATGCAGCTAGAGACTATTCCATGATGAAACTATAGGCAAGGAGACAAAATTCAGCCATGGAACACCAGAGTGTTGGCAAGGAAGTGGCAATTGTATCAGGCCGATGTGCAGACATGTTAAAATTGCTCTGTGTAAACCAGCACTCCAAGAGTTTCACCCTATTCCTGGGCTGTACCAGTAGAAAATCTGAACCAGGACCTCATAAATCTATACTTAGAACAAGTCCCTCATGTGACTTTTAGGTGCTCAAGTTTGACAATCATAGGAATAAATGATGACACCCTCTTTTGGTATTAATATTCCTTGGGGAGAGAGGGCCTAAGATAGGAATTTAAAATCTGAGGATTTTTTTTTTCAACTACTGTTTAATATCCACAAAGAAAGAAGTGTGACCATCCCCCAAATTCCTTGCCAAGAACTGGTAACACCCGGGGGAGCCATCCATCCACACAAAAGCAGCCAGCCGGGAAGCTAAGCAACTCCACTCTCATGTTCCATGTGTGAGCAGCAGGTAGTTCCAGCACCTCAAAAAAAGTGATGTGACAACAGGTGATACAAAAAGAGGACCCTTGGACCCCAACACAAGAGATTTAGACACTGGCTGCAGAGGCTGACTGTGCCAAACTTGGTTTTCCTGTGCTTTAGACTTGGAGTCCACTTCAGAAAACAAAGAATTGTAGACCATGACTAGGCTCAGGACCATGCTCCTTCTCAGAGCACTCAAATGTTGGCTAGTATACAGAAAGATGTTCTCAGCACACTTTGAAAAAATGGAAGCTTTTATGTTACTATGAGAAGAACTCATATCATTGGTGGTTTTATGCACACACACACACAAACACCTACCCACAGCATCTGAACTACAAGGCAGCCCTGTACACACACTGCCACTATCTATAACTGTCTGCCACCAATCTACACTCCCAGTGATTTTACATGGAGCCTGGTTGCAACTGTTGCCAGGTAATTTTGTCCACACCTCCAGTGTTGCAGTTTAATACTAAATGCTGCTACTCAGTCTTCCCACAGGTGACTGGGGCCCAAACTCTCTAGTCTTTGTAAATATCTAAGATGACTTAAAATTATCTTTCATTTGTACTAGAGGGCAACCATTATCTCGACGTGAGGCAGGTGCTATGGACAGCAGGTAGACTCTACCTCTACCAATGTCCCAAGCCCCACAGGACTGGAATTCTCTCAAAGAGAACAGCATTTACTCTTCACCAGCTTTAAGCCCAGACATTTCCTCCCCACCCAGAAGATACTAGGAAAAGTCAGAATCTTGGCACACCACTTTTCAGAAGTTGCTGACTCCTGGTTGCTAGGATATATTTAGTCATACACATGTGTGAACACTGTGTCTCTGTGTGTATTCAGTAGGAAATATAAAATGCACTTAACCTGTTTTTCCTTTATTTATGGGTGAGCAATAATGTTGAAAACAACAATAATTAGAACTCGAGAGACTACATTAAAACTGATCTTAGAAGTAAAATGGATATATTTTTATCAGATCTTTAATAATCTCATCTATGAGCCCCCTTATTTTTTTTTCCAAATCCAGAAGTTAATTGTGCCTGGACATTTACGTCGAAACTAGTTCATGCTGTAGTCCTCAGGGGCTACCCCACCTGACCCACCCACGCAGACTGCCACTGAGCAGGTCACCTGGTAACAGATGGCACAGATATCATTGTGCTTCTCCAGCTGCTCTTTCATGGGGGCTGGGAGAGACTTAATCTTATTCACAGCATCCCTGCGGAGTAGGAAGCTCTTCCAGCCCAGCTGGGCACGGAGCCACACGTTGTAATAGGAATGGATGAAAATGATCATGGAGCCCATCACGGTCCACTCTCCGAAGATGGTCTCTGAGACGCCGTAGGCCACCACACAAAGGGCCACAAGAAACTCCAGCAGGCGGTAAGTGCCATTCACATAGTAGATGACATCGTCCATGTTTTCCACGGGCTCTTTTCGGAATTCCTCAACCATAAATAAGACATAAATAAAAAGTGTTCCCAGAACCTGGAGAAAAAAATGTATGTATATTGTTAGAATGTGATCATAAGAAAACAATCTCCCTAAGTCTAAAGTAATAACACACTCTTGGTTCTTTTGGTGTACCCAGGGAAGACTAAAATATAAAAACACAGTCCAAAGAGACAAAGGTGGTGCATGTGGGTAATAGTAACCAGGTACTGAGGTGGCAGACGCTACACAGTCAAGTGGCGTTCTTAAAAATCATTCAAGGCGTAGCCAGTCTCCTCGGGCTCATCCAATCCCATCAATTCTCCCCTGACCTTCCTCATCCCTAAGCTCCTCATCTCTCAAAACCCTTCTACAAGGAACAGCACTGAAAACGTCCTTTCTCGGACCTGGTTTCCCTTTCCTTCTTACTGACTAGGCAGAGTCCTCCATATGTCACAATGAGCTTGCCATGTCTGGACAATGCTGTTCACATGATGAAATACACATCTCTCTGTGGCACATAGCTATGAATATTTATAATATGTATCACATGTGTGAATACTCGAGTTGTATAGATATATATTATAAGAGTACTTTTGAGTAGACATTTACTTTGAAAATCCCATCCTAAACAAGCTCCAGCATATTTTAGTGTTACGGTTTCTTAATCAATATAAGATTTGTAAGACAACTCCATGTCACACCATTTTGAAAAGATAAATTGAAAGGCTTAATTACACTGATTTTTAAAAATGCACTTTTGTCAAGATGACACCAAAATAAAGAAGGAGGCCTCCAGCCTCCCCCAAAGCCAAAAGGAAGACCCTGAAAGCCAACAAAGTAGACAGTGGTGGAAGGCAGCCCTGATACCTTCACAAAAAAGCTTGCCCAGGAGAAATAAGCTTGAAGACTATGCCACCATCGAGGCCCCCTGACCACTGAGTCAGCCATGAAGATGGAAGGCAAGGCATGATGCACTTGTGTTCACTGTGGCTGTCAAGGTCAGCAAGCACCAGAGCAAACTAGCTATGTAAAAGCTCCATGACACCAATGTGGCCAAAGTCAACACCCTGCCCAGCCTTGACAGAGAAGGCCAGGGCTCGGCTGGCTCACGATTATGATGATTCAGATGATGGCTAATTCCAAAGATAATTTTATCTTCACCATGAAAAAGAGCAACGCAAAATGTTTGTATCATTACCACAAATAGGAAACCTCACGGTTTAGGTAACATGTACTAAAACAAGTGTCTTCATGACATGGAAACTTCATGCTTGTCATCATAAAGAAATTTTTGCCTCCCTCTCAAAACCCCCCAGCAGTATTCAGGTGTGTCTATCTAGCATTTCAACAAGCAGATGGGCTCACAAAGGTGTAAAGTGACGGCTACCTGAACCCCCTCATTCATCCTTGGCTAGGAAGAACTATAAGACCAGGTGGTGCACCCGTCTGAGGCTCACCTGGAGAGAGGTCAGGATGCTACTGGAGATGATGATGAGAAGCCAAAAGTCCATGTGGAAGAACTGGCAAATCATGTAGGCCATATATGCGGGGAACACAAGGAGGAACAAGCAGAGGCTCACAGCACGGAAGTGTTTCCACAAACTCCTGGACAAGACACAAGATTCTCTTATAGTCAATGCATCCATCAACTGCTTCCTCACCATAGTGGTGAGAGTACGATGGCCGCTCCTTAGTTCTGCAGTTACAATTTTTTCAGGACTTTTCCCATTCACTGTAACTGCTGGAGTCCTCTTACTACTGTGGACCACTGGGAGTGGACCACTGGGTTAGGGGGAGGCCCAGACCATCAGGCAAGTCTTCTTCCCTAAGTTTCCTTTGCATTTAGTTCTGGTACAGGAAGAAACAAGGCCAAGGCTGGTTTAGCATCTTGAAGGGATGCAGAACCACACCCACTAGTCAGTTCTTGTTGTAGTGCAATTAGGGGATTTTTTTTTTGTCTTTTACAAGCTTTCCATAATATTCTAGCATTTCCATTAATATGAAAAATGAATGTAATCTTAAAAAGACAGTCAGAAACAACAAAATATTGACTGTAGCTAGATCAAAGCAGCCCAATTTTTAGCTCTATGCAAAAAAATTTTATTTTAACTGAGCCCACCCTTAAATACCTGACATGCTTTATGGAGACACCTTGAATTTCAAGATCAAATCTCCAGTAGCTGTAATTAATGACAATCACTAAGATTAACTGAGACACAGCTAAGAACGGGAGTACCCGCAAGCTGACTTTCTCAGCTACAACTCCTTTTAAGAGAATTTTACCAATTATTGGCCCACGCAGATGATGGGGACACTTGAGTAAAGCTGACAAACTGTAATTAAAATGCTACTTTGAATTATTTTATAAATCTGATCTCACAATGCTACCTCCCAAGAGACTGCTTCTTCCAAGCAATAGATTCAAATGGAGTTCCATCATTTGAACCAATCATTAGAACCAATCATCATAATGTAGATGGAATATGAGTGGAAAAAATAGTGACACTGAATCTTAACCAGCTTTTTATGAACTTTGCATGAACTACAAACCATAATAGTATAATTAGTATAATTAGTTTTGTGTGCTTGTTTTGTGGTGTCAGATATCGAATAAAGGTTCCAAACATTCTAAGCAAGTCCTCTACCACTAGGCCAATACTCCCAGTATGCAAAATAGTATTTTTGAAGAAAGAATAGTTTGGGGTTTAAGTCTTTAAAATTTTTCTATGGCTGCAGCCACAGCTTCATCAGTTCAGTTGTTAAGAGTACTTGGGTAACACCTATGGAAAAGTGTGCTGGGGCCACATGTCTATAATTTCAGCAGCAGAAGTGGAGACAAGAGGGTCCTAAGTGCTGGACATACAGGCAGTCTAGCTCATCAGTGAGTTCCAGGTTCAGTAAGAGCCAGATCCAACATCAACCTCTGCCCCCTGCCTCACTCACTCAGACAAACATACACACTGACACACAAGCACACATGGACACACAGACACATGCACAAGTACACATGTGCCTACAGAGACAGACACACACAGGCATGTATGCATGGGAGAACAGACTCTCATCTGACATCAACCTCTGGCCTCTACACAAGTGAATGCATAACTGCAATACTCTATACAAGAATAAACAATATTTTTTAAAAAATAATAAAAACAAATATAATTTCAAATTTTTCTTAAGACCAAATGTAGAGATACAGCTACTCATCTTATTTGGTCCCATATGACATCAAAAAATCTCCATTAGACCACCTCTCCATATGTTGCAACTTCTTAAAAGACCATCAAAGAAAACTGCAATTCTGTAGGTACCTGTGCTTATAAACCTTATCCTTTCTTCTTCACTTGCATTTTCCCCTAATAATTTGTCTCCTCTAACTAGCATTACATAGGATAAAATCACACATTATCTCATGTTTACTGGGCACTCTTACACACAGGCTGAGGAGATGGAGTGGTGGATAAATATTGGCTGTGCAAGTTAGAGGAATAAAGTAATGATTCCTCAGAGAGGCCGCTGCCTATACTCACAGTGCTCAGGAGATAGAGACCAGGTTCCTCAAGGCAAGCTGGCTGACTAAACTAACTTCACCCATGGTTGGGGCCCAGAAAGATGGCTTTGCTTCATCTTGGCTTAAGGTCAGTCAGAGAGTTCAAAACTATCCTTACTCTTCCAAGGTTAAAGTCATAAGGTCTAAGGTCTAAGGTGTATCTACTGTAGGATGTTTGGTCTTGGTTGTGGATGTCTTATCTAAATAACAAGAGACTTGCTCTTAGATGTGGTTATTCCTCTTAACCCTCAAGACCAGATAATGAGAAAATTAGTCTAAGGTGTGGTTATCAAATGTTTGGAGAATTAAGGAAGAAAGTCTGTTTCTTCCTTGTATCTTGATAAAGAAGTCCTTTGCCATGTTCCCCTTTTTGGTTGAGGTATTTCAGTATTCACTGGATTGCCTTCCTGACTCTAGTCTGTGCCTCTGTCTTTTCCTTAGCACCTTTACCTGCTGCTTCTCAATCCACACTCCCCCACTCAGGCATGAAGTCGGGTTCCTACAGATGGCACCACAAAGTGGGGCTACTGCAGATGGCTACTACAACCCACCAAACTGTCATTCTGTCAGTTAGGTGGATAAGGACCTAGGAAGACACCCAGCATCCATCTCTGCCTCAACATGTACAGGTGTGCACACACAGGCAAATACAACACATGAACAACATACAAAGACACAGAGTCAAACCTTCCTATCAGGAAGTAAGTCCTCAAGTGAACAGCAAGTTTCTATCCATTTCCCCCCTCTAAACACTCACTCCATCAATCTACAGGCAGCATGTGGGAAGACAGAATCAAAGAGGATGAGGGTGTTCCTTACTTGTCTCTGGATGCTCCCAGTGCCAAAACAATGGGATCCGCAATCTCTAACATGGACTGCAGGATAGAGGCCACAACGATGAAGAGGATGATGCTGAGCAGAAATGCTCGGTGAACCACCTGAAGCTCTATGAGGCCGGTTTGCACTGCCAGGATCAGCAGAGTGACTCCTTCTGTCATCCCCCTGGTAGGCAGACATGTGCAGAAAGTCAATTAATATTCCAACCACCATCTAATTCCAAGAAGACACTCCAAAGGCTTTGGCTGATGATTCCATACTTTTAAATCTGTTCTGATGTTTCAGGTTAAAATCCTATCCATATGCAAAGTGACTGCATGTCCCATTGCTTCAATGTGGCAGGGCACACTGATGTACATACATCCCTACATGTTCAAAAGCATGCTGTAAGCTTACCATCCAATGAAAGAAGAGACTTCTAAAGTAAATAAACAATTCCTAAGCAGACTGACACTGAGAGAGAGAGAGCTTCTATTACCCA